GCCTGGCATGATGAGCCGGGCACGAGCCTCTGGGCCTCAGTGTTTCCATCCGGGAGGTGGGGCGCCATGAGCCGACACCGGGGCAGCAGAGAAGCACACGCCTGCAGCCCAGGGCGCAGGTCTTGGTCTTTCGCCAGATGCACAATCAGGCTGGCAGTGCTTAGAGAAGCGAGAGGCCACCGGTGTCACTTCTAATAATAGAACGAGGCCGCGGGACAGCACCGACACCGATTCCTCCCAGAGCCCACAGACGCAGCCGCCCCGGGAAGGTCACCACGCGGTCCTGCCCCCAGCGCCCCACAAACCCAGGTCAGAAGTGAGTGCATGTGCGATGCCAACGTACACACCACGGCATTTCTAGCACGCCTCTCAGGAAATCACTCCAGGTGTTCCTGGTTTCAAGTGAATTGAGGCTTGCTTGCTTTGAACCAGCCAGCAAATGCAGTGACAGCTCCCCTCTAGTCTGGGCCTAAAACCCAAGATGAGAATCCCCCTGCTGCAGGGTTGCGAGAGAATTCACAGTCACGTGCTTCAAAAGCAGATGTTTATTATTACAAAATTAACTATTCTGAAACCTTAAGAAACTTCACTAGAAGCAACTTGATATAACCAATAATTCAGTTTGCAAAGTTTAAAGAAGGCTCCTTAAAAACACAGCCAGGGGCCAGCCGGCAGTGTAGTGGTTAAATTCACGCACTCGGCTTTGGCAGCCAGGGTTCGCAGGTTCGGATACCGGGCTCAGACCTGCACACCACTCATCAAGCCATGCTGTGGGGGCATCCCACATATAAAATAGAGGAAGATGGGCACAGATGTTAGCTCCGGGACAATCTTCCTCACCAAAGAAAAAACACAGGAGATAACGTGTTTTATAACTTCTATGTACTTTATCAGCCGATCAACAAGCACTTATGAACAGCTACAAGGCGAGGGCCTTCTGAACCTGACTGGCTCCAGGTGAGCCCCCCACCACCTCACCAGCCCCAGGGACCACACCCTTAGGGTAAAGGGCCCTCGGCAGAGGCAAAATTCTCCAAGTGGGCGCCCCTGAGACTTCACTTCTCTCCCCTCCACACCCCCACACAGTCCCAGCAGCCCAGGACGGATCAGAAAGCTATTCACAAATCAGTTAGGGAAAAGCAGTTTCTTTTTCCTCTATGAGAATTCACTGATTTTCTGCAAGCCCTCAGAAGACCACCCAGGGCTGGCGGGTCGTGGTTTGGGGAAATATAAACCACATTCCAATCCACGTGTCAGAAAAATCAGCAGAGGCGGGGCAGCTCCCAGGCAGGACTCCCCGAGCCCCGGCACCCTCTCTCCTTCTCATCTCCCTCCACCTCACTCTGCTCCGGCTTTAGTTGTTTTCTCCTGTACTAAAACCTCCAGGGCCTGTTACTTAGTCTTTTTATCTCCCACAGCCCCTGGACCCCTGCAGGCAGGTAAGCACTTAATAAATTGATTTGGTTGGACTATGTCTCCCAAAACTCATATGTTGAACCCTAACCCCAGAACCGCGGGATGTGACCTCATTTGGAACAAGGTTGTTGCAGATGCAGTTAGTTAGATGAGGTCCTCCTGGGGTAGGAGAAGAGACCACAGGGAGGACGCCATGGAAGACTGGACCTGTGCTGCCACAAGCCAGGGAACCACCGGGAGCCTTGGAGAGGCCTGGACAGACGCTCCCCCAGCGCCTCCAGAGGGAGACGGCCCTGCCACCCCTGGGTCCCGGACTGCTGCCTCCAGGACTGAGAGAGAACAAAGTTCTGTTGTTTAAGCCCGCAGCCAGGGCGCTTTGTTGCGGCAGCCCCAGGACGTTGACACACAACCCAATGGCTTAAACCAGTTTAAACACACGCACGCACACCCAGGACATCCAGCAAGACCAGAAGGTAGCATCTGACGTTGGACTGCATTCTGCAAATATTGATCGATTGCAAATATCATCTCCTGTGCAGCCCTTGACGGATTCCTATGTGTTCTGTTCTCCTGGGCTAGAGACGGAGAACCAGCCTCCTGGAGTTTCTCGTGGTGAATCAAGCAGCTGCAGCTGCTGCATTTACAAGTAAAAGTAAAGCAGGTTTCGTGACTTCCGTTATTTTACTGTTTTATTAATCTCAGAGTAGTGCTCCTTCCTCTAAAACTTCCATCTCTTGGTTTCAGCCGTTTGACTAGACAATGTAGGATGTTCACTATGTGAGGTCACGAGCTCGGTCCCAACAGGGCTCCACGACGCTGTGGCCGTGGTGTGCTTCTGATCGCGGGAGGAACGAGCGGGGCAAAGAGTGCGGGCAGGTTAGCAAAGCCTCCTGGCCTCTACTGGAAAAATCGAAGCGTGCGATCCTCAGACACGAAGATTTGGGAAACCTTGAAACCCCCACTCTTCCCTCCCCTCCAGCAGAGAGGAGGGAACAAGGAAACGTTGGCAACAAGGAAACGTGTCTCTCTTTTTTTTTTTTTGGAAATGTGTCCCTTTTCTGAACTGCTCACACAAAGTCGATGAGCCCCTCTTGTCCCTGCCTCACCTTCCTCCTAGAGAAAGGCAGGCTGCACACAGGAGAACCAGGGCAGAAACACTTTCCAAACGAGAACAGTCTGAACGGAAATGAAGGTCCTCTCAGCTCCCCACCCTTCACCGCCTCCAAACCGAACAAACGAACACAATGCAAGAAACATACTAGGAATGTTTTCTTAATAAAAGGCATATGGGAGCCTAAGCCACTTGAAACTTCCCTTAATTCTGCACTATCCCCAGTCTAAGAGTTCGTTTTAAACTGTGGATTTGCAAATATTGACTTGCCGCTGTGTCGGCCAGTCAGCAGTGTGTTCATGTGGCAAACGGGTAAAGCTAAGATCCTCTCAGCTCCAGATGAATATTCAGTTAAGTTCCCAAATGCTCCTTTTTAAGGAAAAACGTCCTCAGATGAACATTCCCACATTTGAGTGAAAGCCGTTCCGCGTGCGTCCTCTGTGGTATACATTAAGTCCTTGTGCAGGCGAATATCGGAAAGCTCAAATAAATAACTCTTCTGGGGAGATGGAAAAGCTCATGAAACTTCTGCAACCCAGGGTTTTAGAGGCAGAGATTGGCTAATACTTTACTCAAAAATCTACCTTTGAACCACAGAGAATAAGTAGGTCTGTCTATAATCTGCTACTCTGATGTTAAGCTTTCACAGTGATCGTGTCCATCTGAAACAAACCAGTGGGGCCTGGGGGCTAGCAGGACAGCTGCAGGGTAAGAAATCCCCAGATGACCACAGTTTCAGCATACGCTGGGCTGTTTCAATTTGGCTCCTACAAGCTAAACATTTTATTCATTCCTCTCTATGTTGTTTTAGAGATGAAAGGAATGCTACAGTTTTCCAAGAAAACCTTTCTAGAATGTCAAAGAAAAGGATTATTGAAGTCTGCCCATCAATATTAATGCAGTTAATATGGCCAGTAACAGATGCATTGAGAGCCACATGCTTTTACCCAGACAGCATACGAAGTTTCTTAAAGCTTCACCCCTGGAAATGGAATAGTCCTTCACAGAAGCCTATTTTGGTAAACTTAGCATGCATTTTCAATGCTTTCTAACATCTGTCTCTTATTACCAGGGGTCCTGATACCCAGTTGACAACAAAGCATTTTGAGTGCCTTGAAAATCGGATCCTGCTTCTTATTCCTGTCCTAAATCATAATTTTATTGTGACCTCAGGTTCATTTACAAGCACCATTTTTATTTCCTGGACAGACAGGCAGCTATCCACTCTAAAATGCACATTCTACTTTCATAAATACGTTCCGAGTCAGAAAAACACTTAAAACTAGTATGCATGTAAAATTCATATTAAATAGAATCTTTTCTGACCTTTATAATGTAGCTCCAGAGCATGCACAAACTTAGGAATAAGATCAAACATTTTACTTTTTCAAGTCACCTAATTAACATTACGAGCAAATTGTTATTGTCCATAGAGGTCAATACAATCCCATTTAAAAAATGAAATAGTTTTTCCTAATTACAGTGCACTTCAATTTCTACACTCAACACCTTGTAAGTAATTGTTGATCTTAAGATTGTGTATTGGCGAGAAAAACTGGGATAAGATTGGAGTGGTTTTCAAGCGCAGGGGTGCATTGTCCTTAAAAGCGCTCCGGCCCCTGCCCCCGCTTTGTCAGCTGTGGAGAAGAGCGCAAACTTCAGTCACTCACAGAGATGCGGGTCAAGGTTCACACCGCCGCCCCGGAAACCACCAGTCACGCAGAACAGGAGCAGAGTCTGTAGGACTAGGAACCCTGTTCAAATTCAGGTAGGAACCTGAAAATGAAATCTAGGATTTTAAGCCAGCCATGAAGAATGCCAGGGCTTCCCAACCCCGTGTCTGCCATCCTCTGGGCTTGGAGACAGAAGGGATTCCTTCGTGGGGAGGGCACTAAATCGCCTCACCACCCAGCCTTCAGCTATCGATGAACGCAGCTTCCAAAAATGCATAGCAATTGGTCAGTTAAACAGAGGGTCAAACTCTCATCCAACACCAGCAACAAAAGCCGTTCAAACAAAGCCCTCGGAGGCAGCTGCGCGCAGGGCTGGAGCACGGCTTTCGGCTGGGGTCACGGAGAGGGGCGACTCCACCTTCGGGCGGGGCAGAGCGGAGCGCTCCCCGTTCCTCCGAGCCTCCCGGGGGGCGCTCCCCTGGACCGCGGCCCCGGCCCTCTCCCCAGCCGGCACCGCACACAATGGCGCCCCGAGCTCCCGCCACCGGGTTCTCGCGCCGCCAGCGCGCCCCCCGCGCGGCCCGCGTTCCCGGGTCCGCGCACAAAGGAGGCGCGTGGGCTCCTCCGCGCCCCGCGCTCGCCCGGCCCGCGCGGCCACCAGGTGCTGGAGCCAGCGACCCCGCGCCCGCGCGTCTCCGCGCATCCCGGGCCTCCCCGCGCCGGGGCTCCCACTGCCCGGGGACACCCACCGCCCGGGGCCTGTCCGTCCGCCGCGGGGGCGCGGGCCGGGGGGCACTCACTTTCTCGATGGTCCCGGGCAGCAGGCGTTCCAGCAGCCTGCAGAGGACCACCCCATCCTTCAGGGACGCCTGCAGGAAGCCCTCCGGGTCCGAGATGGTTTTCTTGGGCGACTCCAGCACTCCCAAGGTAATGAGCCACGTAACGGTCTGCTCGGCGGAATTCATAGCGGCGGCGCGCCCGGCCTCCCCGCGCCGCGAGCCCGTCTCGGCGCCGTTCACCTCGGAGCGGCCGCGGCCCGGCCGGCTGCGCCCCCCGCCCCCTCCTCCTGCTCGCCCATGGAGAGGCCGGCGACGGCGATTGGCTCGGGCGGCGCCGCGGTCCGGCCGGCTCGCGCTCCCTCGCGTGCGTCCTGGCCGACTGTCAAGTGCCTTTTCATTACATGCACATGAACCTGCGGCGGCCGCCCGGCGCCGCCCCCGCCGCCGCCTCCCGGCTCCCAGCCGCTGCCGCCGATGACATCACTGCCAGGAGAAGAAAAGACGCCGCGCTGAACGGCCCCGCGCCGGGCCCCCCGGCCGCACAGCACCCCCGCGCCCGGGCCCGCCGCCGGGCGCCCCCGCCGGGCGCCCTCCACGCCCGGGCCCCGCCGCCGTGCGCCCCGCCGTGCGCGCGCGTCCCCACCTGCGCGCCCGGCCGTGGGCCCCCGCCCCAAGGGCCCGGTGACCTCCAGAAGGCGACAGCCCGCCCGCCGGGGTGGGCTGGCCGGGCCTCCCAACCCGCGGGCCGCGCGCGCCCTTAACCGTTCGCGCCCCGCGGGGCCCACGCGCAGCCCCCTCCGGACGCGAGAGCCCGGCCTCGCTGTCCTCTCCGTTCCGCTGCCCTCTCCCCTCTCGGAGGACTCGGAACCGTTAATTTATAGCCTCAATCTGTGAATGTTTAAATTATTAAATGCTTCCCAGAATGCTCTTTTTTATTTTTGCCAGTTTCATTTCAAGAGGTTGGGGGTGGGGGGGCATGCTGAAAACGAGACGTTTGCTTCTCTCCGCTATTGCAAGCCAATAATTACAGGACACAAATGATAATTAAATCTGTGACCAGATGGGTCTAATTCGGGGAGGAATTGATTTTCCGGGCGCTGCTGCGATCCTTGGGGAGGGGGACGTGGACGCCCCGGAGCGCGGCGCGGCCGGTGTCACTCGTGCCCCCTGCTGGGAAGCCTGTGACCTTCCCGGCAGGGACTCGGCTGGCCCCTCTCCAGGACCAGAAACCTTGGAGCGACTCTGCTTTAAATCGCTAGTGACGTTTCCAACACTGTGGGAGGAAGGTCAAGAAAAGAGCAGAGCCTGAACTGGGTCTATGCAGATGATCGGAAACAAGGACTGAGAATAGCTCAGTCCAAACAGGCCACTTGGCCGGATCGCGCTTGGGCGAGAGACGCTCAACGGGAGACCAGGCTGTGAAGGCCCGCAGGCCGGCCCTGAGGAACTCAGACGTCCAGCTGTCACGTAAGGAGCATGCTTCTTCAGACAACAAGCGACATTGACACAGTATATGCTAACGAAGGAGGAGGGCCTCTTCTTGAAAGAAGCAGGTGTGAAGATGCACACGTGTGTTGTTCACTCCATCCACAGTCCATGAGCTTTCCCTGCTTGCTTGCTGGGACTGCCCAAGCAGCTGCAAACCGAATTAGCAGTCACCTACAGGGAGCCTACTGTGTGCCGGGACACGCATCAGTCCAGTTAATGGCAAAGGCTGGAAACCATATAAAGATTTTTTAAAACAGAGGCTTTACTCTGCTCTTGCCCTGCTTTCTTCCGGAGTACTTCTCTTGCAATCATTAGTTGCGTCTATTTCCAGCTTCGAGTCAGCCTTAAATTTTCTTTCCAAATGCAAACACAAAGTAACTGAAAGGGCAGTATGAACTCTGGGTTATGGGGGCCCCGTCCTTGATGGTCCCAGCTGCTACTTCCTGTGCTCCCTGCGTCTCTGCCCAGGGCTCTGTTCCTGCATTGTGTCACACCATCATTACTACAGCCTCATGGAGCTTCTCTCCTTGTCCGCATTTTACTGGTCACACATCCAGCGAGTGGTGGAGACGGCCCCAAACCTGGGATCTGAGACTCCAGGACTGACACACCCTACCCGTTTTCTAGACCACTTCCCTACGTGACTTCTAGGAAACAGAGCAATTAACAGCTTGATAAAGTTTGTGCCAAAGACTCTATCAATGGAAGGGATTGACCCGAGTGGTCGTCCCGTCTCGGGAGATTCCTGTTTACTCTCAGTGCTGCTGAACTGGAGACATAATTTAGACGACATCACTACCATTCCAAATTCTGTTACATCAGCTGTGGTGCTTAGAAGCTGGTAACCACGGGCGAGGTTCACCTTGTCTCAATCAAAGGGTGGTACAGAAAGGCCACTCTAGGGCATGGCCTTAGTGACCAGCGAGCCTGGAGCCGATTATTGGCAGAAGGGAGACCCACGGGCCACCCACCAGAGCTGGTCTCAGAAGTCCCGGGATGTTGAGTGCTTCAGAGCTGCTAGTGGCATTCTTTCACCTTGGATGTACATTGATTTCAGAAACGTTTATCTGGAAGGAATTCTAGAAGGTAGCATTGTTCAAAGCCAGGTGTTTTTAGGTGTTTAACTGAGTTGTTTTGGTATCCAAGGGAGGCATTTGGTTAAGCTTAACATTTTTCTGAGTTCCTGTGACAGAGGACGTGTGCTGTGGAGGAGAACTTGTTGTCAGGTTGGGTGGGAGCCAGTTAACATTGTTGTTGACGGGAGATTTTGGCCCTGTCTGTGGATGCCCTTTGACTCACCTCAGAAGAGCGTGTGCCCTTCGGTGCCCTCACTTCTCACCAGAGGATTCCAGCCTCGGGCCCAGCTCAGCAGCCTGTTAATGCCTGAGGGCCACATCCCCGGTCGTTGCTGGGGGTGTGCCCACAAACAGCTGCAAACTAGTAACTGCCCAGAGCTCAGCCGGGCTGCGCTAACTCAATTTGTTAGCTCGTTGGTGTTTGGAGGACGGTGTTCCAAAAATGTTGAAATTTACCCCAACCTGAAGCCGGGCAGGCAGATGGCTGTTTACCTACCAGTGTGTAGCAATCACTCCCTGTAGAATTGCTTTTATTGATTCGACCATTGTCTAGATTGAAAAATGCTGTAAGAAGCAGTTCTGTGAAGCTCATTGTATCTACTGTAAGTGTGTTATCGAAGGCACTCGTTTTATCAAACAGTGTCCTATTTATTTGGCACAAGTATGGTCAAGTGCTAAAAATTAAAGATGCAAGGCAGGAAGAAAATAGTTAATAACACATATGGCTGAAAAATTACTCAGGATCAGAAGATACTTTACTGAATAGTATATTATGAAACAGAATGTCAGCAAGACACTTATCTGAGTTTGGGTTCCCCCAGAAGAAGATCCTGAGCCAAAAGCTTGGGTGCAAGTAGTTTATTTGGGAAGTGATCCCGGGAAAGATAAACAAAGCAAGGGAGAAAGTGAACGGGGAGGAGGGAGAAAAGCGAATCAAAGGTGTGTAAGTGCACACCTGGGGCTCAGTTCCCCCGGGGGCCTTGAGAAGCAAAATGGGGCAGGTCTCAGTCTTTTGACCGGAGGACTGCAGGCTGGGCATTACCCCTCAACTCCCATCTCTGTGGTTGGCCATCTCTCCCGGGGCAAAGACCTCTCACTCAGCAGAGCCTAACGTTGCGTGAGCAGGAGATCCCCCATGTGGACCCCTGGGAGCGATGGCAAGAGGAGCCAATGCTCTTTCTAGCCATTGGTGCCTGGATGCTGCTTTGTAGCTACTGGGAGCACAGCACCATATAACCATATAACATATAACATATAACCATATAACAGCCTTGGGTTCAAGGTATATGCTGTCTTGAAGGACAGGTCCCTAACCCTGCAGGAAGTCACCCAGAGCTGGCTTCTGCAAGTATCCATCCAGTGAGATACATTGCTTCCCCCTCCAGGACCACAGGCCTTGGATGTGACCAACTTGCCACAAGTGGTTGGTGTGGCCATATCAGCGGGTTAGACTCAGCCTCTGCTGTGGGTCACTAGGTCGGTCTCGGTGAGAGGGAGCCCACGCTGTAGCTCTTGCACGCCTCCATCCCTGCCACTGTGACTGCGCTGTCCATGGCTGGTTGTGCAGGGCACTGGGGTGGCAGGCAAAGCCCAGGCTGGCTGGCCTCAGCTACAAACACCATCTCTGTGCCTGGCTGCTAAGTGCCCCTTCCCTCAGTGATGCTCTCTGGGACATGGGACTCAAGAGCCACAGGCCTTGTGTCTGCACCCACAGGTCCCTCCACGGGCCCCTCCCCACCGTCTTGCAACCACTCATCCCATCTTGCCCCTTCCAGGCACCCAGACGAGGAGCCAGCCACCCCCCACTGTCCAGGCGTCAGTGCACGGAGGAGGTGACCAGCGAACAGCTCAAAGCTTTGCCATAGAGCTTCTCCTCGCCTGCCTTGCAGCCGGGCTGTGGCGTGGCAGCAGTCCATTTTCAGTTCACACTAAATTATCAACCAGACCCAGGCCAGGTCTCTCTCTCCCAGCTGGTCGTAGTAAACGTCCACGATGTCACAGGTGTGAGCTGAGGAGTGTTGGGAGTCCAGCCAACGGGGGCAGGAGACTTAGAGGACTGGGTCATTTGTGTCAATAGCTCACCGTGCCCTTGGGACCTGCTCATGCCCAGTCCCAAATGCAGCCGGTCCCCCTGGGCTGGGTAGCTACTGTGCCAGCTCCACCTCGTCACTTGGCGCCCTCCCTGGCCGCTGCCTCTCAGAACGTCTTCTTAGTGACGTCGGTGCCCCCGCCGGGGCGTTCTAGCTGCTCTAACTCTAGGAGAGAAAGGAGTCTCCGGGTCTCCAGGCGGCATCTATGCCGACCCTCCCCCTCCCTTCTTCCACTCTGCCGGGCTGCCCAGCCTAAGGAGCCACCCCTGCATGGACTAAGGGTCGGCTCTGAGCACCAAGATGTTACTCCCAAGGTGGAAGCACCATGGTATCCTGGACCCTCCCGTCCAGCCTCACGTTCGCCCGTTCCACGCTCGCCCAGCAAAGCTGCTCTTGAACAGAGTGCGGGATTCTGGAGAAGAATCCTTCCTCCTGGGGCTGCTCCTCTTCCTCCCCAGCCGGGGCTGCTGCACTTGACTGGTGGCTGCTCTAGAGGCCGGAGGAGCCCGTGGTCGCCGTGTTCTCTAACCCCAGCAGAGCCTTTCGTGGTCCCCAGGCGGTGGGAAGCTGTGCGTCTCCAGCTAAGCGGAGGGACCACTGGCTTGGAGGGATCAGGGAATCAGAGATCCTCCCCCCTTGCCCCTTCTTGGTCTCAGGGACTCTCCCCAGCCTGGCCGTGGACTCTGCCGAGGAGGCCTGCCTGCGCGCCCAGCTCAGCTGCTTTGCAGGCCAGCCACGTTGATGACAGACTCTGGGCCCTCTCGCTGCAGGGGATGGATGTTTGTCACGTGCCGCCACAGAGGCCTCTGCCCTTTGCAGGGCCTTCACCTCTTAGCCCCTGAACCTCTGGTTCTCTTTCTTCAAGGCTTCTAGGGCAGTTAACAAGTCAGCCGGTTCCCCAGCCCTGGTAATTGCCCTTACCCGCATATCCCCCAGATGTTAGAGTCACCTCACAAGCCAGTGCTTCCCTCACACCTGGTCTGCATTCCGTTCGGTGCGGGTGAGAGCTGTAGTCATTGTGAGGTGCAGAAGGGGGTTCTTACCTCTTCATATAGACCAGCAATAGCATCTATGATGGTTAATTTTATGTGTCGACTTGAGTGGGCCATAGGGTGCCCAGATATTTGGCCAATATTATTTTGGGTGTGTCTATGAGAGTATTTTTGGGTGAGATTAACATTTGAGTCAGTAGACTGAGTAAAAGAGATTGCCTTGCTCGATGTGGGTGGGCCTCACCCAATCAGTTGAAGGCCTGAAGAAAACAAAAATACCAACCCTCCCCCAAGTAAGGGAGAATTATCTGGAAGATGCCTTTGAAATGGAACATGGGCTCCCCTGGGTCTTCACCCTGCAGGTTGGACTTACCAGACTCCAGAATCATGTGAACCAATCCCTTATAATAAATCTCTATACATATCCTATTGATTCCATTTCTCTGGAGAACGCTGACTGATGATCATCCTGTGGCCGGGCAGTCCGGCTAGTGAGAGATGTGAGTCTAGATTCCCCTCCTGTGTGTCTGCTCCCAAGGTCTCTTCTGATACCTACTGCCTTGGTTTGGGCTCCCTGGAAGGCAGACCCTGCCTCAGGGCTTGGGGGCAGGTGGTGTGTTTGGGAGGGGAACACAAGATGCCCAGAGGAAGAAGGAGGGGCGGGGAGAAAGGCTGAAATTACAGCTGTGTGAACGGGTGGGCCACTGTCAGAACCGGGGTTTCCGTCCCTCTGGGGCCCTGCATTAGCTTCCTGTGGTGACCACAACTTGGCACCACCCGCTGGGGAACTTAAAAACAGCAGAAATGTCTCCACACTCAGGAGGCGGAAGCCCGAGATGGAGGCGTCGGCGGGCTGGTCCTTTCCGCAGGCTCTGAGGGGTCCGGTCCAGGCCTTCTGATGTGGCTGGCCGTCCTTGGTGTTCCTCGGAGATGCATCACTCCGGTCTCTGCCTCTGTCTTCACAAGGCGTTCGCTCCCTTCCAGTGTCCAAGTTTCCGTCTTTTTATAAGGACACCGGTCCCTGGATAAGGGCCCATCCTAACCCAGAATACTCTCATCTTAACTTAATTACATCTGCTAAGACACTATTTCCAAATGAGGGCACATCCCCAGGTCCTGGGAGTTAGGACTGAAACATACCTTTTTGAAGGACACACTTCAGCCCATGATAGGGCCCTCTGAGAAACCATGGGGGCCCTGCCTCAGAAATCCCCCCCGAGGAGGGGAGGCGGCCGCCTACCACGCCCCGTCAGAGCGAAGGCCAACTCTCAGGTCTCTCTTCACGGGACGCTCAGATCCACCAGTGGTTCTGCGCTGTCGTCCTGATCCTTCCATGATGAGTCTGCCCGTCATCAGCCATGTGTTTCAGCAGCTGACAGTAAGTCCCCGGCAGATTTGACGTTTCACTTGGAATTGCCGTGGCCTAATAGACAGTCCCCCAGTTTCTTATCAGCTGAACTTCCGTAAAGAGGCAGTGTTCTCCTCAACTCTACGGGCACCCTGAGATCTGGCTCCCACAGCACAGGCAAGACAAATGCTCTCTTATTTTCTGTGTTTGCCAGTTTTCAACATCATGAGTTGGTGTTCTAGCATCCTTTAAAGCAGACCAATAATTTCTTTTAAGTATCATTATGAATTTATGGGTTTTGAAAATCATTCTTGATGTCTCCCCCAGCAGGCTGTCTGCTGTCAAAGTGCAGGAAACCTTGGCCAGCTCTGTTAGCTTTCGAGAGGCTGACGCCACAGATGCCTCATGGGCCTTCCTGGTGCCCTTACCCATTTCCCAAGGTGAGTAATCGGCGATGTTTTTCTCTATTGGCATTTTATTAGGAGTATTTTCTTTTTCATTTGCTTCCAAAAGGATTTGTCTTTTCCGTTTTGATTTCCTCTTTGATCAAATCTTCATCTAGGGATATGTTCTTAATTACCAAGAAATTGAGAGGTTTTGGCCCATTGATTGTGAGTAGGCGATTGAGCCTATAAATCTCTGCTTTTCAAAATTTCCTAGCATTTTAGGGGCCGGCCCAGTGGCGTAGTGGTTGGGTTTGCACACTCTGCTTCGGTGGCCCGGGTTTCACAGGTTCAGATCCCGGTGCAGGTTCAGATCCTGGACGCAGACCTATGCACTGCTCATCAAGCCAGGCTGTGGCAGCATCCTACGCAAAATAAAGGAAGATTGGTGCAAATATTAGCTCCGTGACAATCTTCCTCACACACACACAAAATTCCTAGCATTTGAAATGCTCCATGAACACATGGAAGGGTGCACACACTCTGTTCAAGAGATTGTGTATTTATATTTATAATGTAAGGGTTTTGTACCTTTTTTAAAAAGAACTTTTTACTCCAAAATAATTTTAGACCCACAATAGGTTGCAAAAATAGTACAGAGAGCTCCCAGGTAGACTTCCCCTGGCTTCCTTCACGGGTGATGTCACGTGACCACAGCGAGTACGCCGACACAGGCACACTATTGGTGCTAGACTGCAGACGTTACTTGGATGTCACCAGTTGATACACGTACTTTCTGTGCATGTTTCTGTCACTTCCATCGCTGTGCTGACCGCGTCATCACCGCCACCATCCAGCTACAGAACGGCCCTGTCGCCAGCACGGAGGTCCCCGGTGCTGGCCCTGTGCAGTCGCACCTGCCCCGCCGACCTTCTGAACCTTGTCCGCCCCTTTTCTGTCTGTTAGATGCGTCCAGTTCTCAAAGACATACGTGTTAAAATCCAGTTTTCCCTAAATTTCGAATCATTTAAAAAGTTTATATCTGATGTTCAATGCACAGGTTAACTGAAAACTTTTATCTTTTTCACAAATTGTGCTTTAAATCAATTCATAGTGTTCAACTTTCTCCTGATTATTTCCTTCATCCTGAATTTCAGCTTGTCTGAATGGAAAAATCATATTTTTCCATTTCTTTTTTCTTTTGACTTGTATTTCCCTCATAACTCTTTGCCCGTATCTTCAGTTCCAGCCCTTCTTCATTGCTGCTTTTAGGTTAGATCATGTAAAGAACATCAACTGCAGTTTATTTTTTATGCCTCTTTCACAGTGCCTGGTATTTTTTATAGGAAAATAAGTCCCTTCATATTTAGTGTGATGACCGAGACCCTTCATTTTGTTCCGTTTACTTTAAGTAATTTGTGATTTATTTTACACCATTGTTTTCTATTTTCCTTTTCTGTGTTTTTCAAATTGCTTTATTTTGAAAAAAGGCAAAGGTTTATTCAAATTGCTCTTTATTCTATTTTTTGTCCTTTTTTTAAATTGAAAAGTTTCATGTAATTTTCCAGTCAATAAATGGTTATCTTTCCTTTCTTGGCTTATAGTGAGACCATATTTCTACTTTTAAAGGTGCAATGCCAGGGCCGGCCCAGTGGCATAGTGGTTAAGTTTGCGCACTCTGCTTCAGTAGCCTGGGTTTGCCAGTTCGGATCCCAAGTGCAGACCTACACACTGTTCGTCAAGCCATGCTGTGGTGCATCCCACATAAAGCTGAGGAAGATTGGCACAGATGTTAGCTCAGTAGCAATCTTCCTCAAGTAAAAAGAGAAAGACTGGTAACAGGTGTTAGCTCAGGGCCAGTCTTCCTCACCAAAAAAAAGAAGAAGAAGAAGAAGAAAAGTGTGATGCCATAAGACACTATTTCCCCACCAATGTGCTCTCTTTTCCTCCTGCGTGCCACCCGCCCCAATGAGATGAGACTCCTAGGGTGCTGTGGCCTCTCCCTGCCCCCATCAGCCCTCAACTCCATCCCTCCAGGCAGATCACTGGAGGACTTTGCCGTCTCCCCTTTCTTGACCCCAAACTCCTATATTTTGCAATCAGTTATTTAAATTTTAAACTATTGTTAGGATTTCATTTGTAGAGCAAACCCTCTTTTCCAGGAGTCTTTATTTAGCACTTACGTTTCACACACATGGCTGTGTGTGTTTGTGTGTGTGTGTCTACGTATCACTGCTCCCCGCCGTCTCTTCTTCTCCAGCCCTTCCTGCATCCTCAGGTTTGTGTGCTGTTGGTGCCGGGTCTCAGACGTTCACCTCTGACGGGCGCATCGGTGATAAACTATTTCATTTCATCCACGTTTGGGAGGATGCTTTTACCACCCCGACCAGGAATGGTGTCTGGGCTGAGCAGAGGATGGCTGGGCCGCGTGCCCTTTCCTCAGCAGCAGCGGGGTGCTCTTCCCTCGCCTCATGGCTTCCACTGTCACAGGCAGAGTCCTCTGCTGGTCTGGTCCTTCATGCTTTGCAGGTAACTTGTTCTTTCCGTCTAGAAACTTGGAGGATTGGGGCCGCCCGTGGCCAAGTGGTTAAGTTCTCGTGCTCCGCTTCGGTGGCCCAGGGTTCCCCGGTTCAGATCCTGGGCGCAGACCTAGCACCACTCATCAGGCCGTGCTGAGGCGGCGTCCCACATAGCACGACCAGAAGGACCCATAAGTAGAATGTACAACTACGTACTGGGGGGCTCTGGGGAGAAGAAGAGAAAAAAAATATTGGCAACAGATGTTAGCTCAGGCCTAATCTTTTCTAAAAAAAAGAAAGAAACTTGTAGGATTTTCTCCAATGTTAGAGATTAGCACTTTCATCAGGCTATGATCAGGATGTGTGTACATGTGCACATGTGTGTATGCATATGCGTGCATGTGTGCATGTGTGTGTGCACACACATGTATTCACCATTCTTGCCTGGAACTTTACAAGCTTTTTCACACTCCTGACTCCCTTGTTTCTTCAATTACTTCTATCTAACACCCTCTCCTGCATCTCTTCATTTTTGTACATCCTGGAACTTCTATTATTTTCCCGTTAATTCTCCTTTACGTATTTTCAGTGTTGCTTCTTTTTCCCCTCATGATTACTATCTTGATATTTTCACCCTGTGCCTTGAGGTATCTTATATCCTAGTCCGGTCATTTCGACTAGCTCAGCAATTAAGTTTTTCTTTTAGCTGCAGGAAGTCATTTTTGTGTTGCACTGAAAACTCCATGAGTGTGTTTTTATCTTTTAGGAAAGGAAGTGAAAAATACTCCGCTTCACAATCCAGGGGATTTATGATGGTTAAAATGATCATCCCGTTAATTTATGGCCCAAATAGAGAGATGACAGGAGACCCAAGGGATCTCAGGCACGGGCAGCTCCTCTCTGACCTCACAGCCGCTCTTGTCATTTCTGCCATCTTCAAACCCTCCCCTCCAACTCCCCTTTGCCTTCTTTCCAGAACGTGCGTGCTGGGCCTGATTCAAACCTGGTCAGTCTGTTCGTGGCACCAGAGCTCTTGCCCGGTCCCTGGGACGGTTTTCTGCTGACTTCCTGTTGGTTTTCTGTCTCCCCTCTCCTCTCCACTAATCCCTTTCCTCCTTGGTGACAAATTCCCTGGCTCTCCCAGCCCCCAGCCCCTCACCCCCACCTCATTCCATCCCAGTCTTTAAAAATCCCTCCACAAAACGCCCTTGTCTTCAAGTCGCTGTCCTGCAAGCACCTTCCCTCTCTGATTCCTCCTCCCCGTCACTCCCGCGCTGGGTCAAACCTGTCACCGGTCTGTGGAAGCGAGCCCAAAACGAGGAGCAAGGCCACTGCATATGGAGCCCGGTTGTGACTGACCGGCTGGCAGCAGAACTTCCCTGGGCTGATCGGGAAGCCTTCTCACTCTCACTCCTTGTTTCCAGAAGAGCACAGGTAGGAGCTTCTGAGACACGCTGCTGCCCATGGTTCTTAACAGCCTTGAAGTTAGGAAGCCCTCTAAGAATCTGATGGAAGCCAAGAGAACTCTCCTGGGAGGCAGAGAATTCCCCAGGGCTCTTGGATTCCCTGGAGCGAGTCCTTGGGGCTCAGATGAAGACCGTGCTGGCCGAGAGCACTGTGAACAGAAGCCACGTCCTAGGGCCAAGGACACCTACCTGTAAAAAAAAGCCACAGGCATTTGAAGATCAAACTGCTCCAGTGACATTTGTTTGTGTAAATCCTAGGGATGCCGTGTTAGGCAAGGCCTGTTGGAAAACCAGATGTGCACAAACCTCTGTTCTCCTGACATGAATTTGCCTCAGGGACGCAGGTGAGCACCTGCCTGGATTTTGTATGAAATAACGGAGACAGATAAGGACGCTGCTGATGGGTTGTAAAGCCTGAAATAAACATTGGCCTGGAAAGTGGGTGGTGCTTTGATTTTTCTTTAAAAATACCCATTGATTTTTTTTACCTATATTTCATGCAAAACTTTAAAAGTTTCTATTGCAGAAGTGCTTTTTGAAGAAGAACAGACATAGATGCCAACGAATAAATATTTGGTGACATGATTAGTTGCCCTCTTTTATATCGGGGCAGCAAAATCGTCTTCCGTGAAAATATTTCGCTTTATAAATGGAATCCGAATGGATGGAGCCAACAATGACTCCAAACATTTTTAATTGCCTCCATTTTCTGTTCTTTCAACTTATTCCAGGAAAAAAGTACATCTAATGAATTATGCGTTTGATTAATTGGAACCTAGTTTTTAGAAGCCACAAGTTATTGAGAATAGAGAGGTCCCTTAAGGAACAGCACCTGCGTGCTTGTCCAAGTACTCCATTTCATTAAGATTCTGCCCAGACACTGAGCACATTAGCCTGCGGTGGAAAAGCCTGCCTCCCACAGAACAATTTCTGATGGAGGTGGCTCCCTTAGCTCGAAGGAAGGGAGCAGGGAGGAAGGTGACAAAGTGAAATGTGGGTCCAAAGAAGGGATGAGAAAATACAGCTGGAAGAATAAGCCTGATAGGAAAGTGGTTGATCAGAAGGATTAAGA